GCAGAACCTACCCCAGCGTCTGCGCGCTGCGTCTGCGCGCCTGGCACGCGCCCGGTGCGCACCCCGGCCATCTGCACAAGGCACGCGATGGCCCCTGCCAGTTCGGTGAGTCGGATTTGGGCCCCGCAGTACTTTGGCCGGCGTAGAAAACGAGACCCCAGCCCTCTGGTGTGTGGGGTGAATGATGCTCCTTAGTGATGGTGCCACCATCAGTGGGGCTCAGTTTCCCCTTCGGATCAGTGTTTCTCATTTTACTGGGTGTGCAGGAAGAGTGGGGTGGGAGTCCACATCCTGCCTGCTCCTGTGAAACTCATGGTGACAGCAGCCTTGGAAGTGGGCAGAATTCTGGCGAGCCTGCTCTCCCTTTGGTACTTACCATGGTACCTGCAGATGAAGTTGTGGGCCACTGCGGCATATTTGTGCCAGGAAAGCTGGGATTTGGTGAGGGTATTCCCTTTGAGTCTGAGTGTCCAGGTGCCCTGGGGCCAGGTGGGTCGCTTGAATGGAGAGGGAGGGAAGGTGAGGCTACCTGGGGAGCAAGAGCGTCATATGGGGACTCAGGAGTCACCTGGCTGGAACACTGGCTCCCAGGTGTAGTTTGAAGTCCAGCCAAGGGTCCACAGGGAGCTCCTACCCAGGACAGGTGAGACCTTTGGAGACTTAAACTCCAAAGATTAGTGTGCCATTAGGTGCATACTTGGGTTTTGTGAGTATAAGGTGTATATAATTTGAATGGTGCTGCTTTAAGGAAAGGAATTGAAAATTATGAATTGCTAGGGACTTGGGAACTTAAACTTCATCAGCCATCCCTGGGTGCCATGGTTGCCCATCTTTTCTGTGTAATTTTTAAAAACATTAATATAAGGGCTGTCTGGCAGAGCACCCTGCTTTGCTAGCCTGTTGGCCTAGGTGTGGACATGGCCTGCCCATCAGGTTTTGGAGAATAACCTGTCTACTCTTCCTAGAACAGGCTGTGCAGAGTCCAAGGTGAGTGAGCCTATGGCTGGCAAGCTTGTGGCCTGGGCTTCAGGCTTTGTGGGAGGAATTCTGTCCTGGGCCTGGAGACCAAGTCCAGACTAAATGCCTACTTCAGTGTCATGACTTCAGCTTCAAGAAGAAAGCTGGGTGCAGGATTGGGGTGGGTTCCAGGCCTTAAGAAATGTCCAGTGTTGTTTTATTCTCCGCACCCCCACCCTATCCCATTATTCCAGGTCCAGTGTACTCATGTTGGAGATGAGACAGGAAGTCTCCCCCAGGAAACAAAGATGATGTGTGGTCCATTGTGGAGCTGGAGCAGCCAGCCCGTGTTCAGGGAAAGTCCAAAGGCTTTTCCTAGTTGGGGATCCCAGTAAAGGGCAGAGCTGGCTCAGAGTGCTTCTGGGCTGCTTTTGGGCTCCTCGAGTGACCCTGGGCTGTTCTTTTTTCCCCCCATGTGGCTGTTGGCCCTTTTGGAGCCATTGTTGAGGTCCCTTCTACTTTGAATGCTGTTTCTGCCTTGTGGCACTTGAAACAGTCCTGTCTTTTTCTTTGTAGTTCCTATCACTCTATTGTACAATCTGCTTTCATCAGCATTTAATTCACAGGCAATTCCCTTTGTCTGCAGTCAGGTAACACTAACTCCACATGCAAGAGACATAAGAAATGCTGACCAGGTCCCAGAATCTACACCGTGCTGATGGTCTCACATGATGTCTCCCTAGAGTGGTATTCTGTTTCTATGAGAAAGACATTGCAAAGATGTGTGAACCAAATCTGCTTTTATGAAAGGGGAGACTGAGCCCTAGCAAGGACAGGGGACTTGTCCAGGATGTCCAGGGAAGGTTGGCCAGCTCCCAGGTCCCAACACCCTGTCAGTGCTCTTTCGGGACAGGACTTGATAGTATTAAGTCAGGCAGATGGTGGTTGCCATGGTTACCAGAGTAAGGACAGATGGCAGATGGAAACCCCATACCCCTAATTCACTGAAAATTACCAAATGACAAGTAAATGTGACAGCCTCTCCACTCTGATCTATGGGCTCTGAGGCCCACCCCAGGCTCAGGCCTCGGGAATAAAGAGATACTCAAGGCCCCCTTTTCATGACCTCATTAACAGGCGTAAGAGCTCCTGAGCTCAGCTGTCCTTCCCCCCCAGTATTTTTGTCACCCACCTCAGAACTGGCACTATTTCCCCATCACTTTCTGTCTTGATGTACTTGTGTGACCCCTGCCCTTGGGTCCTGGTAAAGCATGAAGGTGTGGACAGGGAGATGTTTCCCAGCCACTTGGCACCTCATTCCCTGCTACCCTAAAGCAATCTTTAATTCAGAAGACACAGCAGGAGCACACTTTAACAATGCCTCTGGGGATCCCAGTTGAAGGAAAACAGACTGAGCAGGGCTGTTCTGCTTGGATATCAGTGATAAAATCATCCCTCCTCAGCTCATGCCCAGCTTCTCTGTGCCCCAGCACCTCGATGTTAAGGGAAGAAAACCTCCACAGGTAGTGATGAGGTTGTCCCAGTGGGGAGAAGCATTTTTATATATGCCCCTTTGCCCCTGAGGGACAGCGTGAAATCTTTGAACTTGAACATACAAGCTGCGTGTTCCTTCTGTGCTCTGACACACCCCAAACTGCCTGGTAGTGGCAGTGATCCTGTGACACACACACTAACTGAAGACCTATGTGTAAATAATTCTTGCTGTTGGAAGTTCCTTTGCCCCCATCTTCTCCTTTGGTTTTTACAACTACCCTCAGGGAGGTCCCACTCCCATTTAATAGAAAGGAAAATAGAAACACAAGAAAGGGAATTCCCTCGAGCCACCTAGCTAGTCCCACCCCAGGCTGGACCAGCCTGGGTTTGCCTGGCTCTTTGCAGGATGTTGAACCCCAGTAGCCCCAATGAGCTCTCGACACCCAAGTCTTAGAAAATTCACCTTGGTTGAAATTACAGCTCCACTTAGAAACCAGACGCGTGTGTTACCAGGTAACCAGAAGAGGCAGCAAATGCCACTTTGTCAAAGGGACAAAGAAGGAACCTCGTGCTCAAAAGCCTTTCATGCTGAGGGAGGGGATTTGAAGCTCAGGCTGCAGGGAGCAGGATTAAGCTGTTTCTCCTTCCACATGGTATTGTGACTATTAGCATAAATTATCAGGGCTGCTCAGTATGTTGATTGTTGAACTCTGGTTGTGTGCTTCAGATGGGGTCCTGTGGGATGACTTTTGATATTCTTTCTTTGCCTGGCACCATTTACTTTAAAGAAATCTCAGAGGCATTTGCAGAGGTCTTTCATTCCAGCTATTAGGAACCCATTTAATTGGCAGGGTAGGCAGACATCACCACGCACTATCATAATTATATCAGTCCCTTTCATCGGTACAGATCGTCACAGTTCACATAGGCACATCACTTATCTCCTTCACCCCGGAGGATGTGGGGCATTCTCTTTATCCACAGATGAGGAAGTGGTTAGCAATTGCCCACGACGAGTGATTGGCACCCAGGCATTTGAGTCTGCCTCAGTATTACTTTGCTCAGCCTGTGGTTTTGCCTCCTGTGACTGCACACTCCTGGTGACTGTTCTGTGTTATCTGCCAGTTAGCTGTTCGACGGTAGAGAGGAAGCTGGCACACTCGAAAGCAGGGCTGACCAGGAGCCACTTCCCTCCAGGGCTATAGGCTTTTGTTGGAGGCAGGTAGAAAAGTAAACTGATTCTTTCAGGATTGTGATGGCTCTGCCAACAGTAAAGTGAGAAGCTGTGGCCCATGGTTTCTGGTGCCTCCAGGCAGGTCCCCCTGATGGATGTCATGACCAGCAGCCAGGAGTAGGTGAGTGCAGGAAAGCGGGTGGAAGAGTCTGTCCCTGGGATGGCCTGGCCTGCCGCACCCTTGAGTCCCTCCATAGAAGACTCAGATCGTAAGGATCTTGCAGCTCTTCCTCAGAACAGCCTTTGGGGAGTAGGAAGGGGAAGGATGGGCTCCTGTGCCTATTTTAAAGAAGAAACGGAGCCAGGTCACAGTACTGGGATGTGGCACAGGCAGGACTAGCTGTGAAGGTCCTGTGTTCCAGCCCACCATGCTGTCCCTCCTGCCCATGGTTGTCGTTCAACACCCCAGTACCACACTTGAAGAGAGATAATACCCTGCTAGTGTCTGAGACACATTGCCCACCTCACGGAGTATCTTCACAGGAACTGTTCCCTGGGTTGATGTGTGGATGCTTTCCTCCCTGTACAGAAAAGAGCTAACACAGCCAGCCCGAGGCTCTGCCTTCAGGAAAGTCTGCTGGCAAGGCTGAGAACTCAGGTTTCAGGAGGGTGTCACCACTCTCCCAGCTGATGTGAGTGGCTTCACTGTGCCTGAACTGTATGGTGTAGCTTGTGTCTGTGTTCCTCAGTTTTTTGTTATTATATCAAAATACCTCAGATGATTAACTCACAAAGAGAAAAGTGTTGATTTGGCTCGTGGTTCTAGAGGTTCCAGTCCAAGATCAGCACCACACGCTGTCATAATAACATGGATCCCTTCCCTCTGTACCGACCCTCACAGTTCACACAGGCACATCCCTTATCACCCCGGTAAAAGTCTGGCAGTGGCCATTGTCTTTATCTGCAGACAAAGAGAAAATGGTTAGCACAGCCCTCATGGCCCACTAGTCTCTGCCTCCTTGCAGGTTCCACCACCTCCCAGCCGTACCACCCTGAGGTCCAGTCTGGTATCACATAGACCTTTAGAGTCCGCTGACCAAATAGCACTGATAAACACCTGCTTACGTCCTGGGAGCCTGAACTGTGGCGTACCGTGGGTACCAACCCAGTTAACACCCTGGGTACCGAGCTCTCATGAGCCTCCAGGTGGACAGCATTTCACACGTGCTGTCCCTGTTCATGGCTGCTCCCTGTGTGACTTTATCGAGAGAGAGGTTCATGAAGCTTTGCCCGATCCCCCACATGACTTTTCCCTTGTCTGACTTTGCTGTGTGTCTTGTGCCGACGTAAATTGTAGCCATCAGCATAGCTGTACGCTGAGACCTTGAGTCCTCCAGTGTCTTTGAACCTGGGAGTTGTGTTGACACAATCCCTAAGCACTAATCTCTTATTCCAGGATGGAGTCCATACAGACAGCAAATATTTCACTTTAAAAAACTGTGTGGAAGTTCGTAGAACCAGGGACCTGGCTTTGAGTTTCTGCTCCTGCAGACCTTGCTGAGGCTTGCTGTCCTCATCTCTAAAATGAGGATAAAGCCACACTCCTCACAGAGCTGGTGTGAGAATGGAAGGCGTAATGCACAAGGAAGGGTATTCTGGGGGGAAAGCAAAATGGTGTTAGTGATACAGGAAATAATACCAGAGATGAAATATGAAGAGTTGTATCTCCCAACCTGTTAAAGGTCAGAAACACTGAGCTCGTGTTCTCTAAAAATTGAAGAATGAATTCTAGGGACAATGGAGGTGAAGAGTAGAAAAGTATTTATTGATAGGAAAGCTTCTGAGAGGCAGGAGGGGACCTGAGCGGGTAGCCCGGGGACCCCACTCCACAGGGGAATTTTATGGAGTAAAACCCACATGGGTACAACATGGGCCACAGCCATGATCAGTCAGTAAGGTTGTGAGTATAGTCATTTAGGTAATAGAGGTCCAATTGCAAAACAAGCATGGATGGAAAGAACAAAGACTTTTAGACTTCTTCTAGGAGATGATGGGCCCAGAGGTCTCCAGTCACCCCCTGGGGTGGCAGATGTCTATCTAGACTTCATTAGGCTCAGTGTTTGTCTTTTTTTGTTTTTTGTTTTTTTTAGACAGGGTCTCACTGTGTAGTGAGACTGCCCTGGAACTATGTAGCCCAGGCTGGTCTCGAACTCTCAGCGATCCTCCTGCTTCAGCCTCCTGAGTGCTGGGATTACAGGCATGCGCCACCATGCCGGGCTTCAGTGTTTGTCTTTCCAGGAACTATACAGGTCTGGTTATCTTGTCTTTATCTTCAGGCCTGATCTCCAACAGATGTGTCTCTGGCCACAGTTGTTGTGTGTCTCACCTTTGTCCTGACTCTCGAGGATTTAGCCCTATCTGAATGCCTGGAATATTTCTGCCTAACTCAGCTGCCTATAATATTAGGGCCAGGGTAAGAGAGCTGGGGTTCTGGAAACAGATACAGGGCTCATGGTCTCAATCCAGCAATCAAGGCCTGCCAGCCCTGTGTGGCTCCCCCATAAAACAGCTGGTTAGATTGCTGAAAAGACAGGTTTTCTCCAAGCATGTCAGCAGAAGAGGGCTTAGCACATAGCAGGCACCGCGTTAGCCTGTGACATTGTTTCCATTGCTGTTATGAATACTGTTGACTGTGAAGAATAGTTTCAGATAAAAACGTTTAAATTTCAAATCCTATGTGTTAAAGTGAAAAGCAGGCGATTATGACAAAGTGCAGCCTGAGGACATTTCTCAAGATGCCTATTCTGCCTGGGTTATGGTGGTAGTTACATGACTGTGTGCATTCGTCAGAATTTAGAACTAACTGTACACCAGAAAGTATGAGTAGTACTGTGTGCTCGTTTGCAAATAAATAGTGAGGCATCCCTTTGACATTGAAAGCAGGAGTTGCTTTGGTAAAAAGGCAAGCTATTTCCCAGCGTGAAATCAGTGGCAAAGACAGTATTTCCAAGACACTCCCCCTTAATTGCAGGTATTGAAAGAGAGGAGGAGGGGAGCAGGAGTGAGGAAGCGGAAATGTGATTTACTGGTTTATTCATTTAGGTCTGAAAGGGAGTGATGAAATCTCATTTAATATTTATGACTTTACATGAATGAAAGTGAAGCCCAGTGACAGAAGGTCCCTTTAGAGTCCATTGAGGGCTCTGGAAGAGGAGGGTTCTGACAGTCCCCACAGGGAGCCATTGGAGGACTGGTTTGGGCTGAGGTGGAGGTGACATCCCAGTGCCTGTGTAGTTGGGAGGTGCTGGAGGGGATGTGAATAAATTAGCCTGTCTTTGTCATCGCAGATGGGGCTGCTGCCAGAGCCAGGGTGTGGGTTCTTTGTGGTAGCGGGTGATGTTCCGGCAATGTTAGACCTTCAGAGGTTGGTTCTTTGGGGGCTTTGGCTACACTCTTGGACATGAGCTGGCAGGGTCCCTGGCAGGGCAGTCCAGTTGAGGCAGTGGGCTGAGCAGGTGTTGGAAGAGGCAGCCTGAGACAGTGGGGTATCCTTGTATTCAACTCTATGGAGAATCAAGGCACCCACAGATTCAGGCTCCAGAGGGCAGCCCTGGGGTCAGCAGGTGGCACTTATAGAGACAGCTTTTTAGCTCCAGATGAGGATAAGCTTTCTTAGTAGCAGAGTCCTTCGAAAATGGAAGGGCCTAGCTCTGTAGGTAGTGAGCTCTCCATCACTAGAGGTAGGAAAGTGAAGTCTAGATGGGTATGTCACATTCAGCCTCAGGATTCTGGGGAGTTGGGATGCTATCTCCTATTTAAGCATCTGTGGCCTGGGATGGGGATTTAGCTCAGTGGTTCCAGCACCTGCCTTGCAAGCGTAAGGTCCTGAGTTTGATCCCTGGTACCAAAAAAAAAAAAAAAAAGGGGTCTTCAAGAATCTGAAGCTCAGTGGTTCCAGCACCTGCCTTGCAAGCGTAAGGTCCTGAGTTTGATCCCTGGTACCAAAAAAAAAAAAAAAAAGGTGTCTTCAAGAATCTGTGGCTTAAGATAATTTGGAGGGGTATCAATTTGTCTATAGATAGATCACCCTGACCTGACCGGATCTGCTTCCCAGTCTATTTGTAGGGTCCGGACTACTTTTTCTGCATCCTTCCACTCCCATGCTTTTTAGGCTATGAGTCAACCCTGTCCCTTACCCCCACACCCTCCCACCCCATATCCCTCCCTCCATTTTTTACTGCAGTCTTGGGCCAGGGGTGAGGGCCCTTCCCTTCTCAGGACAGGCAGAGCCCCAGAAGTCCTGGAGCCTATAGTACGATGGCCCTGAGTGAACGCATTTGTTCTTTTATTTGCCTTGTGTTTTCCATATGGCCGCCTGTTTGCTAGGCCTGTTTCCTACCCTAGCCCCCACTTGCACATCAGGTACTGAAGCCATTGCTTTCTCACTGTCTATGGTTGCGCCCCCTGTGCAGCCCTGGGGAGGAAGCATATGATCCCCAGCTTACAGGTGAGGAGGTCTGAGCTGAGAGCACTTCCATGGCCAGGAAGTGGATGCCACCTTGGATGCCAGGGTGGCTGAACTTCCCGTCAACCACAGGTGAAATCAGGTAGATACACCTGGACTGCAAGGCTAGCTGTGACTTAGCAGGTCAAAGAGGTACAGGCGCCCTGGTCCCAGTAGTGTTTGCCTGGCTAGGCCTGCAGGATGGCTGAGATGTCTAGTAGAGCTGGGCAGGGTATCCTGTGAAGGAGGAAAGCTGGGGGCCAGAAGGCCAAATGGGCTGGACGTGACTATCACAGCCGGGTGTGAGCAGAGAAGATAGAGCAGATGCCAGGCAGGGAAGGAAGTATGAGTTTTTGGGTTTGTTTTCATTTTGTTACAGTTATAGGAAGTTGAACTCAAGGCCTTCACATTGAGCTACATCTCCAGGCCTTTATGTTAAATTCTGAGACAGGGTCTCATTAAGTCACTGAGTTGCCCTGCTGTGCTACCGCAGCCTCCAAGAGTGCTGGTTTTACATGTGTGTGGCACTACACCCTTTCTATGAGCTGAGTTTCTAACTCATGCCCACAGGCTCTCAGGTCCCCTCCAGAGAGCCCGTGTTCCCCACTCTGCTCCCCACAATGCCTGGTAGCCCAGAGCTGTGTTTGCCCCATTCCAGAGTCACAGAGGCTCAGCCCCTCTTTCCTTTCCCTGGGTTCTCAGGTCGTTTATGGATGGAGTTGGGTGTGGCCTGGTGTCTGCATATGCAGACTGCCACGTCCAGTAAGAACCTAGGGTCTCCACTGCAGGGTGTAGGCAGCGGTCTGTGTGGTGTCCTCCCTTGAAACACTCAGCACACAGAAGCAGAGACACCCTTGTGTTTGAAGTCTCTGTTGTTGGTAACCTGATACCAGCCCTCTAGGAAGACGCCACTATGCACAGATGAAATGTACACAGATGCAGCTGGGGTCCAGGAGGGGCCCACAGAAGGAGTGTGTGAGACCATAGCTCTGCCGCTGACCTTGGTAAGTTGCCTTGCTTCTCAGGACTCATTTTCCAAGGGCAGTGGGTCAGGAAACCAGCAGGCTCTCTTTCAGGTGTGAGGAAAGCTCCCCCTGCAATCCCCTGTATGGGACTATGTCCCCTCCATTGAGGAGCAACTGCACCCATCAGAACAGGGGTCTCCAAGGCCCTCAGCAGACAGGGCGGTGTTGGAAGCAGGCAGCTTGGGACCTGCCAGCATAAAGCCTGTGTTTCCTCATGTTCTTCTCCCAGCTCCTGTGGTCATCTTGCCACCCCGGAGTGTTCACAATGTCACTGGAGCGCATGTTTACCTGTCCTGTGAAGTGAGGGCAGTGCCCACTGCAGTGATCACGTGGAGGAAGGTATTTCTCTCCAGGAACTCTTGTGTGTGTTTGGGGGTGGGGGCATGCATGTGCCCACACACTTGAATGAGGCAGAGACAGAAACAGATGTGGGTGGTAAATATTTTTCCATGAAATGTGTTTGTTTGTATCTCTTTATCTGTGGGCTGGAAGATTACAGAAGAAGCCTTATATACCACTCTGTCTCAAAACTTCTATCCCAGAGGAGGGACAGGTGCAGTCTGTCCTTTGCCATCTGCTGCCTTGGCCACTAGCCTATCTCAGCTGCTGGGACCTGAGAACCTGATTCGTTGTGGAGCTGAGTTGTACACTGACTCAGCTGAGAGCAAAAGACTCAGTCCTGTCCCAAATGCAAATCTTCCTCTTCGGGAAGATTTGCATTTGACATTTGTTTTCTCTGTGACTCAACAGCCCTGACAAGGGCCATGAAACTGACCTGCTTCTGCCAAATAGTGGCGATGTTAGCATCTGTGCCATCCAGCAGGGGGTGCTGCTTGTGCACACATTTAGATTTCAAAGGCACTTGATGTTATTTGAATATGAAAGAGAGGTGCTAGGGTTTCAGCCTTTGAGTCAATGGGAGGATGCAGGTGGCAGCGGGTCGGAAAGACTTGCTTTAAGTGGCTCACAGTTTCTCTGTCCCCTGTAGGTCACACACTCTCCTGAGGGCATTGAGGTGCTGGAGGAGTTACCTGGGGACCACGTCAATATAGCTGTCCAGGTGCGAGGAGGCCCTTCCGACCACGAGGCCACAGCTTGGATTTTGGTGAGTTTTTCAGATTGTCTCATGTTACTGACTGGCCTTTATGAATGTCCTTTATTTTTCTGTGACATGTGACAGTTCTCAAAGCTCTTCCTTTTCATCTTACGGGCCTTGCAGCAGCTGGCAAGCTGTGTGGCCCCAAGAGCACAAGGGATCTGCTGCAGTGGCCCTCTCAAGACATCTGTGTCCTACTGCTCAGAACCTGTCAGTGGGCTTTGTTATGTGGCAAGGAAGATTAAGATTGCTGGAGAGCTGACTTTAAGGTAGAGCGAATGGCCTAGTTTACCCAGGTGGGCCCCATTTAAGAGTAAGTATAAATGAGGAAGAAGGAGGCAGAAGAGTCAGGTAGAGTGATGTAAAAAGACCTCCACCCACCATTGCTGGTGCTGAAGCTGGAGGAAAGGGCCATGAGCCAAGGAGCACTGGTGTATTGGTCAGCTTTCCGTTGCTGGACAAAATCGCTGATGCCTCCAGCTTACAGGAGAAGAGGGTTATTTAGGCTCATAGTGTTCAAGGTTTCAGTCCATAACTCACTGGCTCCAGTACAAAAACATCATGGAAGAGGGGCAGGTCAGAGGGATATGGTGGTCAGGAAGTAAGCACAGGGAATGAACATTGGTCCGGAAAGGGCCAGGGACCACAGAGTCCCCAGGGTCACAGCCCATGGATAGGGTTAGTGCCCTCACTATCCAATCACCTCTCTTAACCAAGTCAAGTTGATGATCTTTTTTTTTTTTTTTTTTTTTTTTTTT